TGGAGTTAAAGAAAGACTTCGTCGAACCCTTTTTTCACTTTAAATTCGACGTATGATACATATGGTTCATCATATAATCGTTTTGCAGTTTTTTGAACTATTGACTCTGAAGTGTGATGCAGATCAATAAAATGATCGATAAAGTACTGAGGTCTGATGCGTCTCCACACGATAAATGAGTGCAGCTTCTCGAAAGACATGCTTTTTAATTAATTTTGCAATTTAAACCGATACAGAAGAAAATATTATATCAAAGTACATCGGAATCTACGGAACTAAGGACATAATAAGGATAATCCATTAGATGAGAGAACGCGTATCATGCGTATAACGCATGTCAGAGAGATTATCACGACCGCATGAAAAGTAGAAAAGCTTTCAGAATATCTTATTATTCAGCAGATATCCTAAAGTGTTGGTGTTAGGTGGCTCTCTTCGAGAGTCACTTCGGTTTATTCTCCCCGTCCTTTCAATTCATACATGCGTGTATATACAGAGAGAGAGAGAAGAACAGAGAATTCATCCGCTAACATATCCTCCTCTATTATGAAAAGACACGTGTCCGGACATCAACAGATGATAAATCACGAAAAAAAATTTTTCAAAGTCAATATTGACACATTGGATCGTTGGGGATGTTGAGATTCGCTGTGATCATGTGTGTTGTGTGTTTGTTGACAATTGAGTTGGCGGTGTCGTCGTTCTTCGGCTGGATAATTTCGCTGTGTCGTATTTGCCGATTGGTTTCTTGGACCGGACGAAATATAGTCGTGTTGATAGTCGTCTTTGTTTGACCATGTGCATGAGTGAACGTTGTTGTTTTGTTTTTGTTTTCTTTTTGATTTACCGGCTATCCCATCGTCTCTGAAATTGAACGTCCGTGAAATAGCTAATCGGAACCTTTCTTCTTCCGTCTTCTCGTAATTCTTCGGATTTGAAGTTGATCGTCACTTCGGTGTGTTCGTCGTTGATTCGTATTTGATGACTATGGTGGACTTGATCGGCCGAACAATTTCATGCTTGAAATCCGATCGGTTTCGTTTCTTCTCCTTGAATTTCTCGTTTTTTTCTTTCTTGTTTTTCTTTCTTCCGTTGTTTTCGTTCTTCTTCAGTTTCTACGGGTCGTAGTGGATCTTGTTGTGGTTCTGGTGTCTGGGGTTGTGAGTTTAATTCGTTCATTTCTTCTGCTGTAATTTGTATTGATAGTTTTTGTTGATGATGGACTGGGTTCGATAACAATTGAAGGATTTCTTCGTCTTCGTTTTCACGTATGTCGACGATATCATGAATGTACATTCTATGTTCGTCGGTCACTGGTGTTTCATATCGATTCGTGTTGAATGTTGTTGATGGATTCATGATGAAATACAGGTTGGTCACTGCAATGCAGTCTTTCACGGCGTAGTCGGTCATAATTCGACGTTTTTCTTTTTCGATTCTTTGGTCATAGTAAGGTGTCCTGAATGATTTCCTGGTCCATGTGTTAAGTTGGATATCGAGTCCGCATCCCCATTTGTTTATCGTTTGTGCCTTGTCCCAGGTCTGCCCGCATGCTGATGCCACTGCGTCTTGTAGTGACCAAGTAGCGTTTGGATTAGAATGCGAGGTGTGATCACATTGATATTCGCTGTTGCTAAATATTGTTTCTCCTGGAGTCTCGTACATGGTACTTGACTGCAATTTTCGATCACGACTTTCCTTCGCGGGATGCGTGCTACTCGATTGATCGTTATGCCAGTCACGGAAATCACTCTGTAGGTTTATTTTTTTCATTCATCGTACTCAGATTGAATAGATCATACGATTTGAAATTGTCAAATTCGTCTTCCAACGGCCCCCATGTGATGATGTTCTTGTCACCATTGAGTATGATTTCACATAATTCCTTGATTTTTTCCTGTGTCGTTAAGTTGTTGCAGTTCGGGCGGTGGAACATTTCGATTAATATGATTGTTGATGCCTGACCTGGTTGTAGAAATGGGATCTGCACTAGAGCACCTTCGTTCACGCTATTGATCGTTTCCGATTTCGTATCGATCGCGTTCACACGTAAATGGGTATTGCGAGAGGATCAGCTACTACAGTGATTTTCTAACGAACCGGGAACGTTTTTTAAGAAATTAAAGAAAATAAGAATAGTTAACGGTAAACATATAGGAAAATCAAATGGAGTAATAATTACCTGGAAATTTGAGAAGGATAGGTTTAGAAATGTGACTGAAACAGGAAACACCAAGGTGACGACTGAGACATACTTTGGTTGGAGGTATTTATAGGAAGTGAAGGGGTTAGTTACATATTCGAAGCGTTTGTAGTCAAAGCTTCGATGTACGTATCACAAGTGAACAAAAAGTAAAGAGAATTAAGCGAAACTTGCAGGAAAAGATGATTATGCGGTTGCATAATACTGTCCTAATGTTTAATCATGTGTAATACACGTAAGAATAGAAAAAAAATAGTACGAGTCGCAAGCGCAGAAAGAAAATTTTGTTTCAATTATCACAAGAATTCATGGGACGAATGGTATTGACTTTGATAGAAAAAAAAGGTATTTGGCGAAGGAATGTCGATGTCAACCGCCTGTTTTGCAGAAGAAAAGAAGCATACCATGCTAGTAAACGTGGTCATAGGATTGGACATGAGATTGAAAGAAAGGATAGAAAGAAATCTGTATCTTCTTGTTCGCGAGAAATATGTGGGATATCATTAAATTACTTTTTAAAACAATAGCGGTTATCTAAACAGCGAAGATAAACTCATACGAATAGAGAAAAGTTCACGATTGTATACGGAAGTGTGTCAGCCTGTTGGACCGATAGTTTTGTAACTCACAGAAGAATGAAAGTAACTATAATTGAAATAATTATCTCAACATATCGCATATTTTATGTAAGCCAAAAGCCGTCTATTTATAGGATGAACAAACGAACATATAAATACAAAAAGCGATAGATATCATGAAAACAAAGAAAGTTTAAACATACAGAGATACAGAATACATACAGATAGTGTACGAGATTTGTGGTGATATAATGAAAATACAAAGAACAGATAAATCGAACTGGATATACAGTACCTAGAGAAAAAATAAACTAGAACTCTTACAAATTTTAAAGAAAAAATCTGTGTAACGAAGTATTGGCGTTAATTTTTTAGGAAATATTGTAACCATAATTTTTCGCGTAGTAGTCATAGCCGCTAATTGTTTCATATTTGGCATGTATATACTTCACTTAACAAACTCACATCATTTTCACTAAAATTTCCAGGACATACCTCAGAATCTTTCTTCGCTGTAAAAAAAAGGAGTTTTATCAAACCAACAAAGGATCTTCCCTCCGATACACGGGACGATCCTTTTTTGGTTTAGTAAAATGAAGGTTCCGGAGAGAACCTTACAGGTAAAACTGAGAACGAAGGTTCCGCAACAAAGGTTTAGTACGAAACTTTTTTTCTTCAAAAGACAGAAGGTTCCGTATCATAGGTACCGTACAGAACCATCTGTAACTATATTAAAAAACGTTTCGTAAAAATCCATAGCTGCGAAAGCTTCGTTGCATTAGTTGTTCTCTTGGGTTAGTCACAGACTACTTTATAGTTATCCTCCTACAGGCTCCGTATTCAGTCACTACACAATATAGAGTGTGGGTGGGTGAGGGTGCGGGTGTTCGTAATGAGTGGTACGAAACGTAGTTCACCCCTTTCGAACGTCCACACACGTTCACCCACCCTTTCATCGTGACACGAACGTGAGAAATAGGTTCTAGCCAGTTCAGTAGATCCATTGCGATCAACTCTAAACGAGAAAGACGATAGAATGTGGTTTATTAAATATTATCACTTACCTAGTTGAATGTCAAGCTATTGAGAATTTTCCGTCCATAGATTTGCATCGATATTAGTGACGACTAGTGAGAAAGACTAAAAATAAATAGAAAATGAAAAATGCATGGATATTTATAGGGTCTCTTCGGACGGTCTATTGAAAACTGGACGTCGGCTGGTGTAAAGGGCTATGTCTTTCAATGAGTCTTCTCCTTTTTCTAACTGAACCAATGGNGATTCCTCGTGATTTCCCGTGATTTCTCATAACTTCTCCGGATTTCTTTTGATTCGAAGAAGCAATTGAAACCTTTTTTCTATTCAATTTGTGAAGTACATTTTGAACCAATTTGGTTGTTAGTTCAAAAGTCTTCATATATGAAGTCTTAATATGAAAAACAACAGTGAAGCGACGTAAGCAAAACTATTAGACATAGAATCATAATTATTTATTGATCAACATGAAAATGTATACAGCAAAAAGACAGTTATACACCTCTGAAACGTGATACTCTGTCGGCAGATAGTGAGTTCTTATCTTTTTCCATAAGCCATGTGGCTGTTTGCTTGTGCAAGAATTTTGTTTGATTGTTGATACTCACTTTGAAGTACGTATGTTCACGTTCTTGTTTCACATTGTCAAATACTCGTATTCCTTGAAAACCTGATGTGCTAGAAGTTCTAATGCTGCCTTGTTCTTCATCTAATTCTATTGCATCGTCGTCACAATTGTTGTCCGAACTATCTGGTGTGATGGCGTCTGTATCCGTACTTGAATCATCAGTAGTATCGTTTAATTCGATTTCTTTTGACCAAAAACTATCCAGCTGACGTGAAACGGTATCACTCAGCGCTTTCAGTGTTATTGCGTTCCCATCATCTTTCACAAAACCTTTAATTTTCAATGGGCTTATGAGTTGAAGTACGTATTCAAAGGATTTGTTAATCGTTTGCTCAATATCATGTTTGGATGGTATGCTTGAATTAGATATATCAAAAGTATGATTTGATATTTTTGACAGTTTGTGATGTTGTGGAAAGCGTAATAAGTTTAAATGTTGATTATTTTTAATATTCTGTAACGTTGACAGCTTATTAACTTGAGAAAGAAATTGGGAGGCGGTGAAGTTAACACCAGACGAAAATACACTAGATATCGACCTTGCAGATCTGAAAATACCTTCACAAGTTTGAGAATTTTGGAGCCAGATCTTGAGAGCTTCAACAGGAAGCTGTTGCTCAGAAACCAGCATTGTAAGATAGACAAGTGAATGAGCGTTGATTTCCACAGAAAAATGCGATTGATAAGTAATGAAATACCTTGATTTTGGCTTCAGATATTCATCACACTGCACATTGTCATTAGATAAATTTAACAGAATGTCATTTAGACCTTGTATATCAGTTTTGTTAATCCACAAAAACCAGAATCTGAAAATGAACACCGCAGTCCACCCATGAAAGATGCGATCAATAATACTTGTTGTTTTCTGTATATAAGCAAGTCGTACACTTTTGATTGCCTATAAAAATTATGTAATTAAAATTTACTTGAGAGCAAAGACTCTAACAGAAAACGATATTTATTTGAAATCTGTCGGCTATAGCGATAGATAGCTTCTTCTAAGATGTAGGAAAGACGTTTGTGCTAGACTGGCAGAAATATCTTGAGAATCTCAAATGATATCCTGAAGAAATACGGTTAGAGAGATATTTTTCGCATTGTTCGACACAATCCTACATATATAGAAAATGTTTTCATTAAGCTGAGCGGACACTTTTTATTTAACGCTTCAGAAACGAAAGATGTGCGAAAGTTCTTAGAGTTATTGATAAATACCTGTAAGTATATATAAATGCCAATAGAATTTGGAATTTGTTCAAGTAATTTCAAAACGTTATCATTTGAAATCTTTTCTGCTGATCCATAGTTTTGTCTATCCTTTGGATTGACATCTGAACGAACAAGTCCATGATCGAACTTTGAGACATTATCAATGAGATAAAGTAATGGATCAATATTGATTAATTGATCACCGAAAAGGAGAGATGTTGTTGTTGAAAGAAGACGATTTCGAAGCTTGGTACAAATGTGAGTTGCATCTTGCATGCACACGAATAGTATTTCATGCTGCATAAAGAACCAAGACCATGTTGCAGGTAGATCAATTGAAAATAAATCTGGATGATCATCGAAAACGAAATGTGCGAAGAAACCAAGTGTTGCTTTCATAGCAAGTAAATAACGACTGTCACAATCACTGGAAAAACCAATTATGCGCACACCTCTACTCTTGAACTCTTGATAGATATGGTACCAGCGAGATAAAACGTCGCTAGCTGTGAACTTCCCATCTGTTCCAAAAGCTGTAAGTAAATATGGCAAGCTTTGATTCTGTAAAGATGAAAGTGGTTGAACAGCAAAAGCATTTAATGATTTAGCTAATGGAAAAGTTGAATACCAATTTTCGAAACGAGCAAATGAATCTGTCGAGAACAAATCAGCAATAGGTTTTCCGTTTGCATCCAATGGACGCGCGAAGCCAATAAATGAATTTGATGAAGTGTCATATGTAACTTTTGGAACAATTGCTGTGCAATCTTCTGCACAAAAACCTAATGATGAATTATTCAAACTGAAATAATTGCTAATACAATCATAATTGAAATGTCCTTCTGTAAGACGATTTTCTGAAGAAATGATGTAAGATTGAATAATCTGTGTGCTTGGAAGAAGAGCAGGTATATTTAAACGTAAAAACTCATAGAGTGTTCGACCTCCAAGAATGTAGATACTCGCTGCAAATTGACGAATAATATCATCATAACGATAACCTTTTTCATTACTAATTAAATTATTGAATATGCTTTTGAGAACAATGTTTAAAAAGGTAAAATCAACATTACTAGTCAAGATGACCTTTGAATAGGTAATAATTGTTCTAATGAATGGAAATTTCTCCAAAATATCACTGGAAATGATAACATCAGATGAAGTGCACGAATTACCAGAAGGATTATCAATTAAATGTTGTTGATTAAGAGCGTGTAGAGATTGGAGAAATGCGTTCACCTTGTACATTAATCCTTTCTTCACCACATAACGCCCATCATTAAGATAAATTCCTGCTTTTTTCTTTAGCGGGATGAGATCGTTTGAATCAAGTTCTAAAAACAAAAAGATGCTGTTGATCTGCAGCAAACATTCGACGGATGAGATGTCTTGTGCTTTCATGATTTCCACGGCTACACTGCCACATTGTTCGTTCACTAAACTGTAGAAGGCGTCATTGGAAAATGATAGAACTTCTTGTGTTAGATTGATAGCAGATGATGGAGGGCTAGTCGACATTCTGAAAAGTTTTTCTAAAAAAGTTTTTATTGAAATTTTATAATCATAATTCATGCACAAACTATTCATCTGAAATATATTGTTCTTCAAATATTTCCTGTACCCTCGATGAAGAGGAATGCTTTTGATCAGAATCCTCATACTCTAGAACGGTCTTTTGAATCATTACAGATTAATTTGCCAAAACTTCAATTGATTTCATCGATGATTCTCCAAAAATGTCACTATAAGTTAATCTTCAGACAATTTATCAGAACAAACAATTTAAACCACAATATCACACCAATTTATTTGAGTAATGTAAAGACAAATAAGAACTTCATATATAGATAGATGAATTTCATAATGGATAAGTAATGTAAATGAGTGATACATATAGTGTGCAATAAAAACAATAAATAAATAAAAATAACAGCTAGAAACAAATTCAAATACTTCTTTTCTTCTTTGATGATGATGAATTCACTGTTTGATCTTTTCGCCTTTTCCCTAATGATGAAGGAGCGCGTGACACTAAGTCCGACATGCTATTTGATTCGACATCGACAGACTCATTAGTATCATTCCCGTCCGAAACATTATTGATATTAACATTCGCATTAATGCTAGCCAATTTTTCTTTGACCATAACGCATGGATTTTTATGTGTTAAATGACGAATAAAGTTCGATAACTAAAATGACATAAACACTCCCAAACTGTACGAAGCAAGTGTTCATTCTAAACATTCGTATCGTATCAACGTTGCTATTGCTATCTCCAAAGTATATGACGTTTTTGTTTTCATAAAAAACTAAAGCTCTTAAAAGTAACGACTTACAATATAACGGCTGTCCTTCTGGCCGAGCATCGATTTCACACCGCACCGACATTTGACTAATGCTTTGTTTGATACAAGATCGACAATAATTAGATAATCCAGATCGTGTTGTAGACGAAAAGCAAGTTGATTTTTATTTTGCGAGAATTTCTCACACCAATCATCAACTAAATTAACCAAATGCTGTTTAAGTTTATCTTCAGTTGCATAACTCGTAGCAGTTGACGACGAATAAATATTCGACTCTTGAACAGATAATTGTGTTAAGTTATTACCATTGTTGATAACTGAACTATTCGATAATGTGCCAGATGTGCGATTGACATTATCAGAGATGATTCGCCTTCTCTTCAATTCAGTACGCTTGTTTATTAATGCACCTTTCAAGATCTTCATTTTACATATTAAACCAGGTAAGACAACAAAACCACTACTTTTTAACTTTACACATGCTTGCTTTTGTAAGTCAACTAAATCATCGGAATCCAGTAAAAGAATCTCGAATGGATCTTCGCAAGCAAGAAGACATTGCGCATTGCTAATATCTTGAAATTTAATAACGTTTGATAATTTTTCACCGGCAAATAATTTCACAAATTCAAAGAAGTTGTTATTTTCTAGTTGCAGAACATCATCGGGGACAACAGAATTTCCAACTGACATGTCGAAATTTGTTCAATGAATCAGTGGAAGTGTATAACGGATTCAATTAATGAAAGACAACGTTCGTTGAACATCACGAAGATTAAAATGAAGAGGAAAGAAAACTGTCTGTTCGTTAGTCAATTATATAAAGGAGAATATGTTCCTAGGCTGTTAAAAAGGAGACTGGATACCGAGGTATCTACGTATATTGAATAGAAATTGGATCGTGTTTCATAATGTTTTACGTATACATAGAAATAAATACATAGGGTTTTTTATTTTTAAGCCGTTTTATAAGAAAATATATATGAAAAAAGTCATTTAGATGTGCTTCCGAATGAACAAAATTCTTCAAATCTGTCGTCCCTTTTGTCTTGAGGTTCATGGAGAGCAAGCATGATATTTATAATGTCTCTTTTTCAATTACTTGTTTATTAATTCGAAGAAATATCTCTACACAATAACAACAATTTTCGTTGATTTCTATCGATTTCT